TCCCCACTATGCTTCATTACTTCCTAATTCAAGAGAGTATGGCTTAGATGGTGGAGGCTCAAATAAAGCAAGATATGGACCCAAGGAGTGGAGAATTGCTTCTTGATTCTCAGTAACAGGAGAGTATGGGCTTTGAAGTTAGGCAGACCTGAGGAAACGATGTGACCTCTGTTAGCCCCAGGTGACTCATTGATGATGTGGGGCTGATAAAGAATCAGCCCTGCCTCACAGATGGAAGGATTACATAACTTAATATGTTTAAAACGCTCAGGATGGTGCTTAACACGTAGTACTCATAAAATAAACGTTTACCTATTCTGTTATCCTCAGCTATGGGGACCGGTAGGGAAGAATGGGCTGCAACAGGATTGTACTCTGAGGCTTCAGTGGATGAACCTTTGAGTTGAAAGTTGATTTTTGAAACCAAGCTAGCTTTGGGGTAGAAAAACGTAAAATTAAAGTCACCAAGAAGTCTCCTTGCTCGACAAAGTAGAGTTTGGTTTTGTCCCCTTAGGGCAGGGCATTGGCTCCCAAAAGCTCTGTTAGAATGAACTTCATACCTGGAATGCATAACCTGAAGTCACTATATCAGATTAGCCCTCCAAAGTATTAGTGCTTTGAGGCAATAAGATAATGATCAGTTTGCTGGCCATTAAGAAGACAGATGTAGAGGAAGCAGGGCAAAGGCAGAGTCCTTCCTACCTGATCAGTTCCAGGAGGCCAGAGGCCGTAGACCAGACTCCACAGTGGGGAGCGGTTAGGTCTGGCAAAGGAGAAACATACATTGCGTGTGTGCACCTCCTATGGAAGGAGACTTGCTAAGTACTTTGCGAGCGCACTATCTCATTGAACTTCCCAGCTATAACTCTTTGTTTCTGTTGCCATTACACACTGTTAGAGACAAGGTAATTTATGTACAGTAGAAAAATATTTCTTACACTTGTAGAGGCTAGACAGTCCAAGATCAAAGCACCAACAGGTTTTAGTGTCTGGTGACAGATTCCAAACTCTCTTTGCTTCCAATATGGCACCCCAAGTGTTGCTTCTTTTGGAGTAGGGAGTGAGGGTCCATATCATGTTCTCACATGGCAGAAGATACATATATTAGTTACTTTGGGGTTGTTGTGAACAAATACCTAAAAAAAAAAGCCAACTTCGGGGAGAAAAGATTTACTAGTGATGCATGGTTTGCAGGAATACATTCCATTATGGCAGGGAAGTCATGGCATCAGGAGTGTGAGGTGGCTGCATTATAGCCACAGTGAGCAGAGATACATACTGTGTTCCACTCATTTTCCTCCCCTCTTCTTCCCTACCCCCTTTTTCTTCAAATACTGGGGGTTGAATCTAGGCTCTCCTACATGTGAGACAAGCCCCAGCCTCATTTTCTCCTTTTTATTCAGTCTGAGAACCTACCTGTGGGATTCTGTCACCCACATTCATGGTGGATCTTCCAATGTCAATTAAATCTCTCGAAAGGCCTCATAGGCCCACCCAGAGGCCTGGCTTTTAGGTGATTCTGTATTCCATCAAGTTGACAATTTTAACTATCTTGCCAGTTAACTGTCACAAGGCAGAGAGTAAGAAAAATCATTGGAGCCAGGTGTGGTGGTGCACGACTTTCCTCCCAGCACACAGGAGGTAGAGGCAGGCAGATCTCTGAGTTTGAGGTCAGCCTGGGCTACAGAACATGTTGTAGGACAACCATGGCTACACAGAGAAACCTTACCTTAGAATTAAAAAAAAAAAAAAGAAAAGAAATGAACACCGGGTTGTTTGCTTCAACCTCCTTTATAAGAGCTCCGATCCACTCATGAAGATGGAGCCCTCATGGATTAATGAAGTTTCAAAAAGCTCCTCTTAATACTATCACCTGAGGGCTTAGTTCCACCATTTGAGTTTAGAGGGATATACACCTGGAATGTGCAGGAGCAGCTCCGAGGCCTTAGAGGAGGCAAACAAGGCACCCAGAGCCACACAGCTAATGTGAGGTACTGAGAGGCAGAATTCAAAATAGTTTATTAAAATTTGAGGTTTAAAAAACAATAAACTCATAGTATAGAGAGGTAGATAAGTCAATTGAGCAGCTAATAGCTATTGGTAATGATAGGGGACACTGTGGAACTGTATAGCATAGTGTTGATGTGGGGACTAATGACATGGTGGTTTCACTTAGGTCACCTATCTCATCTCTCTTTTCAGCAATACATACACAGACTTGTGCCCCTGCCCCTGCCTATGAATGTCCCTCACATGGATGGAAACTGTCTTGCCAATGAGCCAAAGCCTACCTCAAACACATGCACACTGATAATGAAGATGGCCACTAGGAAAAGGAAAAATGAATGGGTTTGATAAATAGCCATCCAACAGAACTTTCTGTGGAAAATGCAAGTCTTGTTCTATGTCTAGTAGTCCCTGGTCATGCATGTATGGCTAAAGCAACTGAAGTGTGGCTATATGTTGAAGGAATTGGACTTTATTTAAAATGTGGTTAGTAGCTATCATACTGGAAAGCACTACGCTAACCACTCTATTAGCCTTTGAAGAGCGCTTATTTGAGTATGCACAGGCATACTGGAGCAGTGAGTTTACTAAAAAAGTGGCTCTGTAAGGGCGTATTCCCAATTTGTACAGTGCCTGAAGTGGAGGGGGGGGGGAAGCAGAGATTATCTTCCCCATAAGATCCAATAAGTCTGGGTGAGGGCAGCAACGACCTACAGCAGATATGTCTAGAGAACAATGTTTCTTCTTGTCACTCAACTAATCTTTCCAGGAGGAAAGCCAAAAGAGAATGAATGACCCATGCTGGCTGCTCATAGCCTGGGTCCCTAGGATGAAGATGGATGCTTTCCTTCCCAGGCCCTCTCATCCTCAATGTGGCCAGTTGGATCACAGACCATTGTTAAGAATCCTGTCTTATCTAATGTGGTTTGATCATGCCAGACCGCCTGAAACAGAGTACAAGCTAATCCTACATTCAAAACAGCTGGACAAAACAGCCCTACAGACTACAGCCAGGATTTCTGAATCTTCTTCGAATCCCCCAAGACAGCGCCCCTTACCAGCAGGAAGTAGTTTGGAAAGAATGACGCCCAAATTCCCAAATATTGTGTATAAATGTTTGTTTTCATTTAATTGGACTTTGTTATATAAAATTAAATAAAAATTATATATATATATATATATATATATATATATATATATATAAGACCATCCTGGCCTATGTATCATTTCCAGGCCAGCCAAGGCTATAATAGTGAGAATCTGTCTCAAAATTTCTAAAATTAAAGTGATAATGACAAATGGATATTTGTACATCACAGTTATAGCTGACTATTATTTCAAATAAAGCATAGAAAAAAAAGAATCCTGTCTTATACCCGTCGAACTCCCTTGATTTATTTGAATAGTTTACCCATAGATTCAGTAGCATCTTCAGAAGCTCCAGCTATCTCCAAGGCACTGTTCTGGTCTGGAGCTGCAGTTTATAAGGAAGGCAAAGGTCACTTTATTGTGGACACTTTTGGTGAAGGGAGACTGATATTGTAACATTTCAAAGATATTTCATAGTATATACCATGGATTTCCACATCCTCTGTGGTACACCAAACACTGTCCCATGTTCCTTGTATGCATGTTTGGATGTAGACTTGGAACAAACTGCCTGGCTCGCTGCAAGGTGGAAACACCTTTTGACTCAGCCTTTCAACATGTGTTGAGTGCCACCTATGTGCAGAGAATGATATTGGGGAGTTTGGAAAGATGCAGAAGATTGAGACCATAGGGTCCTGTCTGAGGGGATTCCCAGGCTGAGGAAAGAAGCCGTGCATTTCTTTGGGAACCCCCCAGGCTGGAGAAAGAGCTAAGAGTCCAGAATAGACAGACAAACAACCCTAGGGCCCTCTTATAATGGGGAATCCCAGTTGAATGCAAAAGAAATCCAGCTGAGTTTGGAAGGAGCCCGGAGGCCTCCTACAAAACTAGGTAGGGGACAGCTCCAAACAACAAGAAAGGGAACATGGAAGAACCTGCAGAATGTCTCCAGAGAGTGAAGAGGATCCAGGGGGCAGCATCTCCAGGGGAACAGGTTGAGGCACAGGGACAGGAGGATACCTTTTTTAGATTGAGTGAGATTTTGAGGTTTTGCTGCACTCATGGGGCCAGCCCAGGTAGAGGGTACTCTCTAGGAGACAAAAGGAGAATTAAGGGTGGTAGGCAGTGGCCCAAGTCTTTTGTTTTTCGAGACAGGGTTTCTCTGTGTAACAGCCCTAGCTGTCCTGGAACTAGCTCTGTAGACCAGGCTGGCCTCAAACTCACAGAGATCCACTTTCTCTGCTGGGGTTAAAGGCTTCTGCCACCATCACCAGGCTAGTTACCCCAGTCTTATGTGCAACCTAGGCAACCTCCCCGATTCTAAATCAATTGAAGGTAAGGAGGAGAAAGAAGGCAGGGCCGGGGAAGATCTTGAGTAAACCCCTACTTGGGAATACAGAGAGACAAGGGGAGAAAGAACGTGATCAGGGTCAGAAATGGATTGGGGTGTTGTGGGGATCCTTCTCCAATTGCCCAGGTATCCTGACAGCTGTTAAGGAAATCTGTTAAGAAAGGGTTAAGTGTGCCCCTCCACTGATCCAAATGCTTCCTGTGTTTGAAATCCTTCAGGTCTCCACAAACCCTCTGGACCCTGGCCAGGCAGGCATTGTCCTGGGAGTGGTTGTGGGTTGTCCGGGCAGTCGCTCAGTCTTTGTTGTGGGGCCACCTCGGGGTTCCCTTTCGCGTCCTGGATAGGGCTGCAGCGTGCTTGCCTGGAGGGGGGCGGTGCGGGAGGCTCTCTCCCCCTCCCTCTTCCTGCTCTACCCCCCTCCCCAGCCCTCCCGATGACCACATGACCAAGTGGGCTCGCCGCCAAACCACAAGCTACAAAACGCAGCCCCCGAAGTGAGCGGGGAAGCATTCTCTCTAGCAGCCTGGACCGACAGATAGTTGCGAGTCGCGGACCAAGCACAGCCGGCCACTAGGAGAGTTTCTGCCACTGCCCCGGAGCCACTTAGGCCAGCTTTGCTTGCGCCGCTGCCCCGCGGCAGGAGAGGAGGCTGCTGCAGAGCAGAGGCGGAGAGCCTGCGTGAGGCGAGCAGCCAGCGGCGCTGCCGAGGCACGCACCCTCCCGTGGTCCCGGAGCCAGCCACGCGAACTCGGTGCCCGCACGCGCCAGCGCCGGCTCGAGCCTTTCTGGGAGTCCCGGGTGCCCGGCCTCTCCCCCCACGCGCAGGCTCTTCGGGGAGGTTGTGGACCGAGTTGCAACATGAATCTGCGGCTCTGCGTGCAGGCGCTGCTGCTGCTCTGGCTCTCCTTGACTGCGGTGTGTGGAGGTGAGTGCCTGCCCTCCCTGCTTGCCCGGGCTTCCTCCGGGGCTCTTCCTAGCTACTGCCTGCACGATTCTCTCTTTCCACCTCACTCGCGCTCTTTCCGCCTCCCAGGAAACCCGGCGCGAGCCTTGCAGGAGCAGCCACGCGCCAGCCACACCGGGAGGCCATCTGACAGGGCATCTGGGGCCAGGGGGAGACGCGCTTTGTAGGCACTGCTTCCCCCGACAGTTCGGGGTTCGGTGTTGTCTAGTACATCACCGCTTGGCCCCTCTTGAATGCCCCTAGCAGTTTAAGGCGCTCAGGGCCACAGACTTACACCCTATGTCCTGCACTCTGCACCCCACGTGGTGGCAGGGAGGAGGATGGGGGCATGTGCAGCTCACCTCGTGGATCAGTGGATCAGGCAACTGAGCTGAGCTGAGTGGTCAGGGCTCAGTGTTGGAGGTGTCTTGGAGATTAGGGGCTGCTGGCAAGTTTAGGGGCTCAAGCCGCTAGGGATGATGTGCTAACTTGTAGACGTGACACTTGTTGCATAGTCTGGAGCACGCTGCGCGGGCGGGGGCGACCGCAGTGGCTAGTGGATCCCAGCTGTTGCCTGAGTGTTAGCAGAGAAAGCCTACTTAGGCAGATCTGGCCTGGACAGGGTCAGGCTGGTCTCCTCCTATATGCCAAGGTCCTGGATGATCTTGTTCCAGGCTCCTCCATTGTGGGACACCTGGCCCACAGGCTCCATCTCTCCGAAGACTCGTTTCTTCTATATTCTGGCTTTACCCTCCACTCTTGCGCCAGGTAGAACTTTGGTCCTCCTGACTCCAGGTACCAAACCAGCAAACACAGGCCCTTCAAGCCACTAGGGGAAGGGGAGTCCCTTCACCTCCACCTGTACCAATATCCCACCTGGAAATTCTTGGCACTGGAACTTCTTTGCCTACTTCAGTCCAGGTCTCCGGGGTCCCAGGAGCCCCTGCCCAGGCTGCTTGGCGTCTGTGCGTCAGAGCCTCCCGGAGCTGCCACCTTCAGCTGTCCCAGTCCTGTGATCTGGCTGTCACTGCAGCCTGCCTGGCACAGCAGAAAGGGAAGGTCAGGACCAGGTGGACAATTGCCAGTACCAGGGCTGGAGTCACAGGGAAGTGAGTGGAGAGAGCAGGACAGTGGGTTTCCTAAAGGAAGAGCCCAGGAACTTACTTAGTTTGACCCCCCACTCCCCAGAACAGGAGGACTGCGTGCTTCCCCGGGAGTCTCTGGGGTCCTGGCCTACTCTGCCTGCCTCTCTTTGTAGCTCCTCCTTTCTGCGCTCCTGTTCTTTGCATTGCCCTGCCCTCAGCACACTGTCAGGGTTCTCAGGACAGTACAGTGGCCTAGCTGATGCCTCCTGCCTCCAGGTCCAGTGGTCTCCTGCCAAACCCTAGCACCAGGATGGCCACCTCCTTTGGATGAAGGGTACAGATTTTCTCCCCAGAAACTCCTGCCAGCCAGGCCATGGCAGGAAGGGAGCAAAAGCTATGAATAAAGACACCGCAGCAGCCTTCCCGCTATCCTGGAGCTTACACGGCCAGTATGACCGGCAAGACGATACACCTTCAGTTTGATTTCAGGCCAATAGTCACAGGAGTGCCTTTAGAGAAGAACATGATTGGGTACAGAAAGGGTGTCCCAGAGGAGGCTGAATCACTTGGAGCTGCATACTTCCCTAGAGGGTGGGGGGGGGATATAAGGGAGACTTTGGCTAGTAGATATTCTGTGAACCCTTCAGGGTCCAGCTGTTAGGGTATTAGTAAAGGGGTGAGCTGAGTTCAAGGGAGTAAAGCAGCTAACAAAGCACTTTGCGTTTCTGGTCTAGACCTTGAAATTTCTCACTCTGTCTCCTCAGTTTACAAGAAATCTTCTGTATACCCTAATGCGAGTATAAGCATCACCCCTATATTTTAAGACAAGCATTGGCTACATGCAAAGCTCTCACTATTTTCCCACCTCTTGACCACTCCCAGAGCCTAGGAGGCCACCTTCTTGGAGGGAGCCAGCAGCCAGAGGTTCAGCTGTGCTCACGTCTCCTGTGTCCTGATCTAGAAAGCAGAGCCCTAGAATAACCTTGTCCTTAGCATGGACTTGCACGAGCTCTCCACAGCCAGCTCCCAAAGTTCCAGGCTCAGAAACTGTTGGTCCTCTTCTTTTCCACTTTCTGTTCTGACTTGGAAAGTTCACCTTCTTTCTTCTCCCCTCCTCCAACTCCACAAACTCCCCACTGCCTTCTGACCTGGGATACACTTTGCTCTTCTGAGTCCGAGAGTTTCTGAGTCCTGGCCAAGTGTCCCTTGGTCTCCTCCCCCTTGGAAACTTCTACTCCAGTATGCAATGTAAGGACAGCTTACTGTACGCCTCCCACCGTGAAGAACATCTCCACACCATCCCCAGTTCTAAACTCCAGGCATCCTTGTAACCTGAGTCAAGCCCTCAACAGGAAAGTTCTAAGGCTAGTCAAGTGGAAGGCAGGTTTCCCAGAGTCTGATCCAGAAAAGCAAGGCTGGCAGTAGAAGACAGCACAGAGCCCCGGAGAAGGTGACTGTGCTGGTGAAGAAGAGCGTCTCATGTCTCAGAGACACGGGCATCACTACAGACCAGTGGACACAGCATCACCAGTAGAATCTCCACCAGAGCCTAGGGGCGGGCTTTTAAAGTAATCACTATACAGACCACACCCTGAACAAGAAGATGGGTGCACCATTCCTGCTGAGGTTGGCATGTTCCTGAAAAGTTTCACAGACTCCTTTTTGTGTCTCAGCAGGGTTGGAGTTCAGGTTGCCTGAAAATCCAATCCTGTTCTTTCCCTGGCTGCAGTTCCCAGCTTGAAAATGTTGTTGCCTCACTCTCATTAACAAGGGCTTCAATCCTCTTGGCATGGGATTCTCTGGGAAATAGCTCTTGCTTCCTTTTAAGCAGAAAATGAGGTGGATGGGCACATTGAAGTGTATTGGGATATTCCCCATCTCCAAAGGGGAATGCCTTTTGTACACCCAGGACCTCTGCTGTGATGAGAATCAACTGCCTCTAATTTGTTCTTTCAGACAGGACAAAGCCAGGGTTTCAGGTATCAGCTTATCTAACTAGACTCAGCAGCAAAAGTAGGAAACAAATGGGTGATGGGATCAGAGTGCAGGAGGAGCCCACAGACTTCCTGTGATGGGGAGGACAATGAGCTCCAACCCAATAGGATGGAAGAGGCTAAGCGGCTTCTGGGACGGCCACTTTCCCAGCCCTGGCTGAGCCTCAGTAGGCTCAGGGTGGGTCTTCTCTGCAGGACTAGAGTCTAGACATCTTCCTGGCCTGAGTCTGAGCCTCTGTTAACATATTGCTCATTCTAGCTCTTGACTTCCCTTTCTATAGGGTCCCCCCATCCCCGACTGCCATAGATACTGAGACTCTCAGGCCATGAAGAAATTGTGTGTGTGTGTGTGTGTGTGTGTGTGTGTGTGTGTGTTACTTTCTCCCTCCTATACCTACTTACTCCATTCTTGCTGTAATGGTTTGGACCATTGTTCCAATGTAGTCATTGAAGGCATGGACATGAGAACCAAGGCCTTGCTTTTTTAGGGCCCGAAGGGTCCTTCCCCTATGCATGGCCACATATAAGCTGGACACAGTTCTTACTATTTCCTACCTCAAACATGTCTCTGGTTCTGACTTCTCATCAGCATCACTAAGAATCACCCTCAAGGCTCAGGGGAAGCTTTGATGAGATCCTAAAAGTCAGGACATTGGCTAGATCAACTGGTGGGGACCTAACAATGGTGCCTTAGAGCCCCTTCACAGACGGTAGCAGGAAGGCAGTTCTAGATTAGTCAAACTGAAGCAATCCCTAACCCTTCTCATCATCTTCCTCTGTCTCCAAAGCACTAATATTATTTAAGTTTCAGCTCTCATGAATTATAGGTTTAGAGGCTCAGCTGACAAATTGACACATTTTAACCCTGAGCACAGAAGTGTGGCAAGTCAACCCTTGTAAACCCCTGGGTCCTAATGGGCCTGGTGTATTTTCTCGAACAAGAATGGGAGGGTGTTTTAGGCATAGAGGGTGTGTGTATTGTGTGTGTGTCGGGGTGTGTGGGGTGGGTGTGGGGGCATGTAGTGTGCTTGTCTGGCTCTGAGTGGGGAGGAAGAGCAGCAGCCCTGAAGTCTGCACAAAGAGGGCTGCAAGGACAAACCTCACCCACTTTTGGCCCAAGAGGATGCTAAATGCCTGGAAATTGTGTGCAAGCTGAGAAAGACTCATAAGAACCAAGGGGCCAAAGAAAGAACCAGAGTATGGGGGTGTTGGAGGCAGGGAGGGTTGTGGGAAGGAGTAGCCAACTGGATGCTATATGGAAACTGTGAGCCAGCGGTGGGAATTCTTTGATGGATGGCAATGAGACTCAAGGAACAGGGATATATAGCTGAAGGCAAATCTGATGGTGTGCAGGGAACAAAGGCTGGTATTCATTATCTTTGGCCTCAGGCACTGCTGTGTTTCTGAAGGCCACTCCCATACTAGGCATCGCATAGACATCCTACTCCTCTGCCTCTTCCCGCGAACCATCTCATCCCTGCACACTGTCTGTTTTTAGGGTCCAAGGGTTTCTCTGGGTACTAGCTCAGCTTTCTTGGCTGGAATTCTGGCTCTGTGAGAGCTGGCAAATGTGCCTTCCCCTCATTTTTCCCAAGAACATCCTGCACAACTTGGATTCCATTAGGACTCAGTGGCATCAGATGACTTCTGTACTAAGCCAGATGTAAGCAGATGGAGACAGGAGCCTGGAAGGGCCACAACAGAAGCCAGGTGGAAAGAATGTTTATCAACTGTTGCTTAGGGGGTGTGATCTAGAATGGCAGATTGATGGGGTGGTGCCAACCCCAAGAGCCTACTCCACTCCTGGTGCACACTGCTTCAGGTGACAGTTCCTGCACTCATTCACTGGCTTGTGCCATATTTATTAGCTTCTAAATCTGGTCACAGGCTGAATAGAACCCAGTGCAATGCAGGCTGAGTCAGTTATGTCCTAGTCATATCAAAGAAGCCTCAGGATCAAGGAAAAACCTCAAAGATATGTAACTACTGCTAAGGTGCCCAAGGGGGACAGATAAGATCTGTAGCTCACAGAAGCGGGTCACCCTGCCTATCCAAGGATGTAAGCCTAGGGTGACATGCATTTGGTATTTGCTTTAAAATATTGCAGCCAATATTTTAAGCAAAGCACACATTCAATAACTGATGTTGTATGTCTGAAATGTTGGAAGCACACCAGCTGTAGGAATCACTGTCTGTGTATCCCAGCCAGGTTTTGCTCCCCAACCAAGTATAGGCTTGATGCTGCAGAGTGCACCCCTAATCATGACATTTCCAAAGAAAGAACTTGTTTGTCCCTGTCAGATACATGATATAACTGTCCACAGAATATAAAATCAGTTACCTCAATGGCAAAACCAGTGGTTCCCACTTGCCCCACAACAGTTGAATAGAAACTTATGAGGTGCGCCATCTTGTGGAGCAGTTGCACTGTCCCTTGGACCGTGGCCGCCTCTGCTGTTTCCGCCATCCATCTTCCTGGCTAACAGATTCTCTTCTCTTCACAGTGCCACTAATGCAGCCTTCAGATGGGAAGGGGCTAGAAGAAGGCAACACGCGCTACCTGGTGCAGCCCAGAGCTTCGAGGACTGGACCGTGGCAGGGAGGCAGGAGGAAATTCCGCAGGCAGCGTCCCCGGCTCTCCCATAAGGGCCCCATGCCTTTCTGAATCAGGTATTAGAGCCCCTTGTCAGTTAGTAGCACTGAAAGGTATGGACAGCCTACTCTCAAAGGCCAGACACAGCAGGGTCTTAGAGCTTTCTGGGAGCTAGTAAAGTACTTATGTCTCTCTCTTTTTTTTTTTTTTTTTTTTTTTTTTTTTTTTTGAAGAAGAAGAAGAGACTGTGGCCCAGAGAAGGGTTTAGCACTTGGGGTCAGTCTCCTAACTCCCTCTCAAAGAGTGGAGTGTTTTATTTTACTCTACCTTTCTTCCTGGGATTGGACATGCTGGTGCCACTGGAAAGTTCTGGAAGTCTTAGCAGGCAATGGCTGGAGAGGTGTACTGATGGCATGCCTACAGATAGCCAGCGTGTACTCTTACCAGGTGTACGAGCAAATGGGAAGGCAGCAGAGAGCCTTGGGACTGTCAGGCAGGGGACAGAAGAGCTTGGGTGGTAGTGTCCAGGGCCATGAGAAACAGAAGAGCTTGGGTGGCCAGAGAGCAGGGCCCTTGAAGCCTGGCCTGTTTTCCCTCCCCCTGCAGCCAGAAACAATGGGATCAACTTTGTGCCTTGGGAGTAGGGGTGGATTGGACATGACTTCTGTTTCCTCATTTTTCCCCCCTGGGGTTTTCCCCTGACCTAGTATGTGTCTGTGACTTTTCTCTTCTCATTTTGTCTCCTTAGGATTGAAGAGCTTTCCAAGTGTCGAACGGGTGCCATTCTCTCTACTCCACAGATTCTTCTAGTTTCTGGAACCCTCACATCCATTTGGCTCTCATCTTGCACCTGTTATGGCTGCTGATGGTCCTCCCACCCACCAAGTTCCTCTAATGGCGTGGTCCTACCCCTCATTTGGATGATTGCATTTCTCTCACAAGGATCCATTTGGCCCATCTTCCTGGCCACTCCTTGGACTACCACTGGGGGCCCATCTTCTCCTCGACCTGCTCCATGTTCTAGTCCCCATCTATTGGCCTTAGCATTCACTTGACCCTTCTCTCTTCTCGTTATCTTGGGAACTGGACAGAAACACTCCCTTCTTCAATGGATCCCTGCACATTCATTCTTTCTTGTCAATTGGACTTCACACTTAGAAGGGAGTACAGAGGTGTGCAATGAGAGACTTTGGATGAGTGGGATTGGGTGTTGGGATGCAGAGAAAGTGTATTGGGGACACTGAACTGTGGGCATGGTAAAGGGGTGAGAAGGCATTGCTGCCACGACTTCTTCCTTAGCTCTTGCTGGCCCTGTTAAGAAGAGGCAAAGGAGAGGGGCCCATGAAGTATTTTGTCACCATGTCTTCTAACATCCTTGTCCTCTTTATTGCAGCCAGTTCAGTCTCCAGGTCAGAAGGGGAGAGTGCTGAGCCTGACATGGTTCTATACTCTCATGGGAGTAAAAGCGAACTAAGCACGATACTTGTTTTTGCCAAAAAAATAAAATAAAAAATAAAAACTACAGAAAGTCAGAGCCCAAAGGACCTTGCTTCCTTATGCAAAAGCTTGCACAAACAGAGGCCCTGGAGAGGGAAGTAACCTGCTCAGAGCCACTGCAGAGTCTCAGTGGGGACCAGGTCTCCCAGCTCCCACTTTATGATGTCCTTTTTCCTCTTGATGATGTCCTTTCAAGGCATATGAAGTGCCTTTTTCTGGGTTTAATGCAAAGGGTAGCCAGGAAGGATGGGGAGGGAGAGGCAAGCCAGCTGTGAACTGCCCTGTGTGAGCATGGAATGTCCCCCTCCCAACCTGGCCTGAAAGACTCCAGAAATGGCGAGATGTACCCCCACACAGGCCAGGTCTCAGCCACATGCCCGGGCTCAAGCTACTTTAATTGGGATTCTCAGGCACTGAAACTATCATTTAACCCCTTACACTGGTTGTCATGAGCCCCTTTGTTGACTGGGTCATGGTTCTTGTGGCTTTTGGGGGAACATCAGAGGATGGAGAAAGGGGAAAAAAAGGAAGGAGAGAAGGCAGAAAGGAGGAGAGATGGGAGGGTATGTGGGGGGCCCATTATCCCACCAGGAGGCCCTGTCTCTTGCCAGGAGCTTTTTGCAGTCCTTCCCTGAAGGGAGACCCTCATCTTTTGCCGGAATAGTTGCTCTTCTCAGAGGCCTCCCAGGAGGGAGAAAAGAGAAAGCAGAAGCTTAATGTTCACTTACCTATGTATAGGGCAGGGGGAGTCAGGACCCCCGAGCCCCATAGTAACCCAAGGATTTCCTATCCACCCCCTAAGCCTTTCCTTCCCATCTGCTGCTGCTAATGCTGCTGCTGCTACTACTGATGCCGCTTCAGAGCCCAACCGGGACATCTGGGCCAGGCATGAGGCCCTTACCCCTTGAGCTTGAAGTGGGGGCTGGCTCATGCCTGTTCTACTGCTGGTGCCCATACCAGGGACCCGGCCATCTTCCTCTTTGTCGTTCCTGCATCTCCTGCCTGATCAGCCTGCCATGCCCAGCCCCACAGGGAAGGGGGAGAGAAGAGGACTACGGCTGAGAAAGCAGAGATAGCAAAGGAGGACGGGAAGAAATGGGCCTGGTGGGCTGTCTTATTTAAAGTAGTTGTGTATGATTCTTATACTAATTTATATAAAGATATTAAGGCCGTTTTGATTTAAAAAGAAAAAAAAAAACTGTCCCCTTAACGTATTCACTATGTTTGTAAAGCTTGTTCTGTGTAAATATGTCTTTATAATAAAGAGTTAAAAACTGACAATTTGCCCTTACTCTTTGAGGTCATATTCAGGAGGGACATTCCTTTCCCCCAAGGGCCATGTTTGTCCCAGTGCCCACAGATTGCACGTGTAGGGAGGTAAGGGCTTGCATCCCAAATTGGTTCTAGGTCAACTGGCCTCAAACGGATTTGCCCCAAGCTCACAAAAGGACTCTATATTTAAGGGCCAGTTCACATAAATTTGAGCCCCTTTTAAGTCCTTTGGCATCCGTTCCAATGTCCTCATTTTTCTGGCAGTGTCATTTAAAGTTTTCTTTTTTTTTTTTTCAGAAGCAATTCATTTAAGGACATACTGATCAAAGGTGGGATTTGTACTAAACGTTGGTTTGTATCCCTGGTGGGTGTCTACTGTTTTATCTGCTTTTGAATACTTTCAGGACTTTTTAGCCAGTTTGCCTTTCTTGAAAAATGTTGTTTTCAGCCATAAATATATTTGGTAATGACTTTGTATGCATCATTTTATGTTTCACAAAGTGGAGTTGCTTGATGAATGAGATAGCCTGAAAAATAAAATGCAAGGAGTTCAATACAATTCTGCCCCATCTGTCTTACTTTTTCATGCTTGTTGTCAAAATGTCAATATCTTCTGGAACAGACAGGAACATTAGGTACATGCTAATTTGGTTACTAAACCCATTAGGTGTGCACATGCATACGCAATACAGAGAAAAACACTGAGGACAGAGACATTGTCAGAATAGATACATTTGATAAATCTTGTGAGAAATTCTGTAGATTTGACAAGTATTTAATGCCAAAAAGATTTAATTTTCAAGAAAATGCCTTCAGACAAACTTGCTAAAGAGTCACATACCTGCTCAATAGGCGATAACACAGAAGTCACCCACAAGCATGCTTAAGTATCTCACCATTAACAGCACGCTGCTCATCATGCCATAGTGATTTAAAAATACAGCTTTTGGTTGGGAGTGCTTCTTAGGAAAATGTATAGTTTTGAAATTGCTGGTTTGCTGTCTAAGTGAACTGATTGTCAGAGGAATTTAGCACATTTAGGCAGAGCTTGCATTTGGGATGGGCTTTACACGGATTGGTTTGTAATCTCCCCAACAGACCCCCCCCCAGCTCTCATTTCACATGGAATCAAGGGCAAAGGGGTGGAGCTGGACCATAAGTATTCTGACCCACAAGTATTCAGGCTTTTAGCAGGTTAACAGAGCCCTTTAAAACATAACTCATTTTGTCATTATGACACCATGGACTAAAAGACTCAGTCCCTTCTTACAGATGAGAAAACACACTAAGAGGGGTGAAGCGCTTGGCCCAAAGTTCCCTAACTTGTGACTGTAGAATCTATATAGCGAATTCCAGAATGCAAACTCTGTAGAGTAGGTCTCCTAATCGTGAGAAAAATGAAGTATAAAATAAAGTCTTTTGTTCCAATAAGTGAAACTGAACTTTGAAATAGGAGACAGCATAGCCTGGTGGTATCAGGGAGAGTGAAGAGAAGCTGAGTGATTAAAACTGGCCCATGAAGAGCCAACAACATCTGGGAAGAGGATGGTGAACAGGGGAGGTAGGGGATATGAAAGCAACAGCAGCCACCAGGTTTCACAGCCCACATGTAGTGAACTGAGTACCAGTAAGTGGGTGTGAGCTTGATTTCCTTGGGACAGAGGACAGGGGAAGGAAAACTAATATGTCTCTGTAAAGATAACTTGACTTGAGATCTAATTAGAGCTGGGCCATATAGATTATATCCATTTTGAAGACCTTAACTAGAACAAACAAATACAATAGAATCAGAGCAGTATTGACTGTCAAAATACTGAGCTTTCCAGTAATATCCAATCCTGACCTTAAGACCACATGTGGCCTAGGATCGCTATGAATGTGGCCCAACATAAAAGCATAATTATGCTTTTTTCCCATTTATTTATTTGTGTATGTGTGTGCATGTGTGTGGCCTTGCTTCCCACAATGCACAGGTGGAGGGGTCAGTTTTTGAAGTTCTTGAGTGTGACAGTTGTAGATGTCAATGTCACACCAAATAAACACATGCATACCTACAAGTCAAGGTTAGACACCTCTGCTAGATGAATCAATAGAAATTCACCTGATTATTTCTGGTTGTGAGGCCCCAGTCTGAGCAGTTGAAGGGGTCGTGCAAAGAACCTGAAAAACAATGCTGCTTCCAAACCCATCTAGAAGCTAGGTGCCTTTGAAATGACAGAGAGTGGGGAAACAGATTCAGGACATGCATGGCTTTTCAGACCCGGGTGTTGGTGTCAAATGAGCCATGGTTGCTATGAAGCCTTTCTCTTCATACTCTTTGATTGACATGGGGCCCCTAAGTGGGGCTGGGCTGCTCTTCCACAACCAAAGTGCCTATGGGGCCTGGCCTAAGCGGCCATTCTAGGGTGCTTATATAATTCTGCTTCTAAGATCTAAAGGCTATTCAGCTGCGTTTCTCAATCCAAGGTTTCTCTCTGCCCAGATTGAACCAGTGCCAGCTAACCACCAAAGAAAATGGTGGAGAAGACTTAGTCAATATTTTTCCGGTCCCAGCCGGCAAAGGCTGTTCACTGTGCCAGCATTTCTCTGGAACACCCAAACGGAAGGCCTCACGAGCTCTCCTTTGAAAACCTACTTTCCCCTTCCTAGTGGCCAGTGCTTGGAGAGGTAGCCTGGCAAGGAACTCCTTTGCTGCAGCTTTGGACTACAGCCGAAAGGTCAGAGGGACATGGAGGCACTTCCATGCATGTCTCACCTCGGGGGTCAGATACTTTTTCTGTACAGTGTTTTCAGATCTGCCCCACATATTAATTTCGTGTGTCTTGTCCTACAGAAGCGGCCATAGACAGCACATAAATCAGTTGGCGTGGCGCAGTTCCAACCCGGCTTTATTTACAAAAACCGGTGACAGGCCATAGTTTGGCCAACTCCTCTCTAAGGAAGTATCAGCCAGTTCTTCAACTTGCCATTCAGACACTGACTGGGGCAAGGCGGGAAGACAACCTTTGTACAGCTGGGGGAATGGCATCAAGTGGCTGTGATGTGACCCCTGAACCAGGATGTGATAGTAGTGTCCCAAAGTGCTTTCAGCTGTGGGACAAGTCTGACTTTAAGATCATGGGTCAGGCCAGGTAGTAGGGTGCCCGCCTTTAATCCCAACACGCCAGAAGCAGAGCCAGGTGAGTCTGAGGCCAGTCTGATCTACAGCGCGAGTTGCAGGACAGCCAGAGCTGTTACAGAGAGAAACCCTATTTCAAAAACCACCCTCCCCCCAAAATAAAAAGAGATCATGGGTCCAATCCTGGTACATTTACTCATCTGTGTGACCTCAAAGGCAAGGTCATAGCCAGGGTGAGTCCTCTTCCTTCTTGCCTTGGATGCTGTTGCTTAGTTTCCAGCACTGTGATTAGGACTGCATCACACAGGTGGAGTGTTCCACATAGACCTCAGCTCCCAGGACTGGCTCACTAAATGGGTGAAGTTATTATGTTCACTCAGCCTCACAAAGCCCTGAGAGGTGAATAGGGAAGCAATTACTGCCACTTTCTACAGGGAGGGAACAAAGGCTTGAGGAGGTGAAATCACTCGTTCAAGTGCATGGAGTAGCTCCACTTGGCAAGCCAAGCTTTAAACGTAGGGCTAGCCTCAGCATGGGTTCGCTGTTCTGCTCCCAAATGGTCTGCATGCCATGCCGAGTGGGCCTCGGTCACTGGAAACTTCAGCTCTCCTGGACAACACACAAGGCCTTCTCCAGGGACAGATTCGGCCCACAGAATTCTTCCGTGTGCCAGCTTTAGCTTGGGCTGCAGCCTGGAAGGCCTCTCCAAAGATGCCAAGCACTCAATGTTAGCACTATATCTGGGGATCCTGAGATGCAATTGCTGGGCTATACACCTGTTCCAGGAGACTCATTTGGTATATAGGGATCCTTCTTGTAAGGATTGGAGCCTGTAAACCTAGGTTCCAGTCCTGAATCTGCTCTTCCTCATTGATTTTCCAGGCAACTTGACCATGCCTTGGCTGTTTTAGGACTCAGCCCCTCCTCCTCCCAGTCCCTCCAGTTTGACTAGATAGATGGCTTTGAAGCACCTGTGAATGAACACTGCTTATAGCAAGGATCCCAACAAACAGGGAATATGCTTCAGGTGCATTGGGCTGTCCCATGGCAGAAGTTCCTGTCTGGGAGAGGAAATAGACATAGGGTGGGACATGAGCTTCAACCCGAGAGGGAGGCCATTGCTAGATTATGTGGGTTGACACCACTTCCCTTTACTCCAGGGAGGCTGCTGGTACCACCTCCTTGCATTTCTCCCGTTGTGCCAACAAAATGCTTTCCTGTCTTCTTCGGTGTTGAAGAATTGGTAGGCCATAGTCGAGGGAGCCCAGTATCATGAAACTCCTAAATTCAGAGCTCTAGATACTACCTCAGCTTGGCTAGTAGCTGGCCCTGTGATTCCAGCCAGGTCACTTCATCTTTTGGGGTTCCAGGTTCCCCTCGTCTATTTGCAAAGGAAAATCTACAAGTGGCCTCCCTATCTCAGCCATAAAGAGCCCCAAGGTCAGAGCGGACAAGCCTGGGAGGTCATTTTGTAAGTCAAACCTCTCCATCTATACAGATGACAAAATTGAGACTCAGATCAGGACAGTGACACTTGAGGGAGGGTGTGACTAGGTAACACTAGAGTGCTTCTCATGTGGCATGCACGGAGCTTCCCCTGCTTTGCCTTAGTCTCTCCATCACAATCCCATTCTGTAGCCAAGGACATGGGGTCATCAAAGAGCTAAATCACCCACTAGTGTAAAGGTCTTGAATGACATATGCAGGAGCTCAGAACTAAAGTCTGTTTGCTTTATTAAAGGAAGGCAATAACACTGGAGACTGGATCCATCACATGGTCCTCCTGGGCCTCGATTTTATCCTTTCTGAAATGAAAATTATAGTCCTTTGTAGTCTTATAGTAACTGAAGTTCCTGAAGTTAAAATGTTTGGTATAGTGTTATAGAATATTATCTTAACTAGGCAAAGATGTGTTACTTTTGCTTACATTGCAGAATATTACTTTAACTGTGCAAAGGTGTGTTACTTTTGTTTATGCTGCATTTGTTTAACTATGAAAAGATGAGTTACATCTGTTTCACCTTGCCTGCCTAAGACATCTGATTATTCTAATAAAGAGCTGAGTATTCAATAGCTAGGCAGAGAAAGGATAGGCAGGGCTAGGCAGCAGAGAGAATACATAGGAGAAATCTGGGCTGAAAAACGAAGAACGAGGAGGAACCAGAGAAGGAGGAGGAGAACGAGGGACAGGTCTGGGGCAAGAAGCCAGACAGACACCAGCCGCCGAGGGGCATTAACAGTGAAAGTAAGAAAGGCAATATGCCCAGAGGCAAAAGGTAGATCAAGGAAAACAATTTAAAAGAGCTAACCAGAAACCTGCCTGAGCTAGACCAGGCATTCAAAACTATATGTCTCTGTGTCACGATTTGGGAGTTGGTTGGTGTCCTCAAACAAAAAGCCATGAGCCAGTATTTGTGCATGCACACATGTGTTCA